CTAGCAATGGACAACTTCTATGGGCCTGCTGTTCCAGCTTTCAGTTGTCATGTCACAGTATAGTTGCAGGAAGGACACCTTGTTTTGAAGGGGTCTTGCATCCAGTGAAGGATGTCACAGTCAAGTTAAATTTCATGACATATAAATGTGAATCCTTTTTCTTCCTTTCACTCATATTTGGAGGAAGCAGTTTAAAATCTTGTAAATCAAACAGACTTCCTATGTCTTACTGTATATTTCTGAAACATCTGTTATTAGCATCCTTACACAGCAAAATGGATGGTTCTCATTCATGATTGAACAGCACCAAACAATTCAGAATCGTTTTTCATTTCTAAAAGCTCACTTGTTGAATTTCAATTCACCAACTTTGTTGGTTTTTAATTGTTAGCTCTGTGATTTATTTAGAGAGCCACAATGATTGATGTCATTTCCGTAACTCTTGAAAAATCTTCATAATGATATCTTGCCCTTTACTTTATATGACCTGGGGAAAATTTTTGATTGCTTAAACTTCTTTGCTGTCAGGTTTCATGCCACCTATTGTAACCACATGGCCCAGATAACCCACTTCAGACACTGCAAAGGAACACTTTCCAGGAATCAAGGTAAATTCAGCGTTATTAATACTTAAAAATTTTTCTGTAATATTGTGGCATGTTCTTTAACTGCAATGAAGGCATTCGGATATGATCTATACAAATTATCTGTTGAGGCCGTGTCATCCTGGTAGTTCATCTGTGACCTTCAGATATGCACTTGGAGCCTCAGAGGAGCTGAAGAACACACTAGAAGCACTGGAAAGGTGTTATGACTTATATTTATTCTTACCCTTTTTTTTATTAATGCGCAGTCAGTGTTTATAGCTGTCCTCAACAGGTTGTGTAGTAGATTGATTGAGTGAACTAACTGAGGTAAGGATTGTAAAGCTTGTTTTGTTTATAACAGGACCTTAGTTACAGGGTGTCAGTCTCCTTCCTACAAACAGGTCTAAAACACACAGTGTTTACTGTATTGTGCTTCTTAAAGGTTCACCAGTGGAAGAAAATTGCATTGTCTCAGTTCATTCAGGTTAATGGCAGGAATATATTGGATGAATGTTCAAGGCTGGATTTACACCACTAATATCTGCAAATAGGTTATTGGATTTGAGGTTCTCACAGCTGTGACTGTGAAGAGTTCCATCTTCTGGAATATAATGTGTTGTCATCCAGTGAAAGTGAATGTTTTGGATTGCCTTCATCTTCAACATCAAAGAGAAAGACAAGCAAGGAACTAGCGTGCAGCAGACAGCAAGCGGACCCTGAAGAAGGAAGTGATACGGTTATAACTTAGAAAACATAACTCAATGAAAAGACTATTCACACATGCTGTCTAGTCTTCCTAGTGGTTATTATCACAGCTCAGGGTATATTATCAATCCATGCACTCTCAAGGCAAAGAAACTTTCTAAGAAATATTCCCAGTGTTTACCCCTGAAACACCTTTGTCTGCATTGAAATGGGTCTTCTTGTAATTTTGGTGACATGATGCTATTATGATCTGAACAGTCTGGCTCATAAGAAATCTTAATTCCAAACCATAATTATTAGTAATGTTTGTCATTGATACTCCTTGCTTTACATGACATTACCTTGCACTCTGCCACTGTTTATTGTTGTCTTATAACTACCACTTAAAGTTTTATTTTATTCTGGTGTAATTGTGCCTTATGGTGGTGTAATTTATTTCTGTTTATGTTCTCATATGGAGCTGGGATAGTGTGTAGTGTCTAGGCTTTGGACTAGATGACAGTCACATTGTGATTTGATTCCCAGCAACGTAAAGAGTTTTCTCTCTTCCTCACAGCCAGCAGACCTCCAGACCAGCTGTGGAGCTCACCCATCCTTCCATACCAGAGGTCATTTCTCTGGGGGGTAGAGTAATGGGAAAGCTCTTCGCCCATCGCTATCTAGTACTGAGATAATGATGTAGCTGCACTGCAGCTACTAAATACCCTGAAACTTTGATTTTGCTATTCCAGATTTTACTCTTCACAAATTTATGCATCTTTTGCATGGTCCTTGCCAAATGTCTATAACAGTAGTGCTAAACTTTAATGGATGTTACGTTTCAACAACTTTACATTTTCCCTGAATTTGCACTTCATTTTCCTAGTCCTAGCTGATGTAGAGCTGCAAGTGATTTATGTGCACCAAGTGACTCTACTCAGGCCATTTGTGCATGAGGGGATTTTTCTGCTGCTGTGGTCCAAGCAGCTCTCACATCAGGTCAGCTTTGATCTTGTTGCGCTAGGTGCAACTGTAACTGAACGAGAGCAGTGTGTCTCTCATGTCTGATAAGTGTTCCAAAAATGACCTTCGCAAAAAAGTGAGTGTTTTCTCAAGTGAAACATTTAAAAGAAATGCGCCCAGGTTAAATTCTTCAATCTCCCAGTGCCCATGTGACTTCACTTTATAGAGACCAAACTTTATTGTTGATTAAGATGAATTTCATGGTAAGAGGATGAAATATGGATGATAAAGGAAAATCATTTAAAATAAGTGTTTTTGCATTAGTTGATGCACATGTTGACACACTTGTTGAAGTGCCGTCATGCTTGAAACTTCCAGTGTCCATGCTAAACACTCTTGTGAAGAACTGTGAAGAAATCGAAAGGAGGTACATCCAGTATGAACCTTTTTCCAAGCAGTGGAAATCGCTGAAATATTCGTCACTGGAGAAACTGGCATCTGCACTTGCTGCATGGTTCAAGCAAACATAGAGAGTAATGTCTAGAAAGATGGTACCCACCTCAAGCAGAAGGCCTTGCACATTGCGGCTTGTCAGGTATAGCCAACTTTTTGGCTTCCAGTGGATGAAACAACAGATTTAAGAGGAGACACAACATTGTTTGCAGAACTCAGGTGAGAGCAGGGGCTGTTGAGCAAGAAACTATCAAAGACTGGATAAATTACTGTTGTGGGAAGCTGAAGCTCATGACCTCTGTGATATATGTATTTAATTCTGCTGAAACAGGTCTGTTTTACCATGTGCAACCTGACAAAACATTTGCTTTTTTAGGAGGTTTTTACCATGGTGGTACAAAATCTAAAGAGGTTACTCTACTCCTCATGTGCAGTATCCAGCAATATATCTGATATACTGCCACCTCTTGTAATTGGAAAACGTAAAATTTCATGTTGCTTCAAGATTGTCAAGAGACAGCATTTGTATGAGGCTCATAGAAATTCTTGGATGACCATCAAAATATTTGAAGATTACATATTTTTGAGTTTTGTAAAATGTCATGTTATTTTAGTTTCTATCTGGATTGGGCAATATTAGTGAGCACTGTATATGCAGACTTACATCTGTTTTGAGCATAACACTCAGAATATTTATGGGAATGAAAAATGTTTCAAACAGAAATTGTAGAGAAAAATGGAACATTTCATTCCAATAAACTTGTTCGGTAAGTCTTCCTGTTTTCTGCATAATTAGAAAGAAATGAGATAACTTTTTCAAATTTGTACAGGGTAATTTGGTAGCATAGTTGGTGCAAGCACTGTGCTACAAGCTGGAAGGTTGTGAGTTTGATTCCTGAGGACGTCGTTGGATTTTTCATTTGACCTAATCCTTCCAGCCACCCTATGGCCCTAGAGTCAACTGAGCCTGTATCAGAAATGAGTATCAGGAATATTCCTGGGTGTAAAAAGAGCAGCCGGTGTGTAAGACTGACAATCTCACTGCTGTTTGTTAGCTGATTGTCTAAAAAATGTGGGAGCCTCAACGTCCCAGAACCCTGTGGGCCTCAATGGCCTGTTAACAGGGATAGCTTTACCTCTACCTAATTCCTTATTCATTGAACAATTTCATTTTTTTATGAAATTGAAACAGTCTTTACAGAACTCATTATTTTTCAGTTTAAAATTACTGTACACAGGAAATATGGTCCTCAGTGTGAAGCAAGTGTGATGTCTTCTTTTTATACTGGATAATGTATTAGATTTGAATGATGAAATTCCATAGAACAGCTTACAGATTATGGTAGAGTTTCTGTGGAAATTAGAAACTCCTCTTGCTGTATTGTGTCTTTCATATCATCAGTTGTGCGAGGGTTAGTGCTCAACACCATATCCGTAATGTATTGTCATAGGAATAAGTCTCATCAGTCAAATCTGGCAATAAAGGTTTTCTCTCAAAACCTTGAGCATGAACACAAAATCTGTTTGACAGCACTGTGTTTCCAAATATTTCCCTAAAAATCCCAGCACAGGACCAGGACCATCTGTATGAGGCCTTGTGCCATCTTTTTGGAACCTGTCCATGTCAATATCTGCTCTGTAATCCATGAGAAAAGGTTTAAAATTATTCTGCAAAACATTAAGATAAACCTGAAAACTGACTCTGTGTTCAGTAGACAGAGGTCCATATGTCAGCAGTGGAAAGTGCACAGTGCACTGTAACCGTCAAGGGTGTAGTGGATTGTCAATAAAAGTCTCTGGATTTTCTTCACATAACTATCTAAATGGGGAGGCGGGATAGCTCAGTCGGCATAATGATGGGCTACAGGCTGGACAGCTGGGGTTCAATTCTTGGCAGAGGCAAGAAATTTTTGTGCATTCAACAGCATCCATACTGTCTCTGGGGCCACACAGCCTCCTATATAATGGGTACCAGGATCATTTTCTTCAGGGGTAAAGTGGTCAAGGCGTGAAGTTTACGAGCTACCTCCATCCAGTGTCCAGATCAAGAATAGTGGAACTATACATCCACTCCCGCACACATCCTTACGGCATGGTGCTTTATTAATTAAGCACAGGTACAAGTTTACCTTTTTGCCTAACTATCTAAATGAAAGTGACCATCAGAGGACCAGATTTTGTTTGAAATGTCTGTTTCTTTTTCAGAACTGAATGAATGTCTTAACGGTTCAGAACAAATTTATTGGAATACAAGTAATTAATTTATGCTGTTTGGAGAAAATTAAGAATTCTGTATAATTCTATGCTTTCTAGCTCCGAATTCAAGAGAAACTAGTTTACGATGATTTGGAATCTGACAGTAAGATGCAGCATCAAGGGACAGAACTCAGTTTGTCCAGAGTTGAGCGGTACCTTCATGGACCCATGCCAGGATCATGTGGTGAGTACATCATTGGCTGAATTGGCAGGTTGCTTTTTCCTCCCTTCCCTTACCACAATGTTATTAAAAGTGTTGAGCTGCTTGCAGGATGTAAAACTGTGTAATCCTTGTACTGAAATACCTGTAGGCCATGTTGAAACTTATGTACAGCATCTGTTTTTTTAGTCTGTTTTCCCTGTTCTGAAAAACTGAAATAGGGGTTACAAGATCACCTTGCCGTCCATGTGTCTCTATGTATATTCCCCCCCCCCAAATAATTGTTAGACAGTGGCACAACAGTGAATACATATGCAAGAATTGAAGAATCGCTAGACATGTTTTCTATGCAGTCCCAGTCATACCAAAGGAAAGTCTGTGTGTCTGTATGTGTATCCTCTTCTTGATGCTAAGCAGTGGCTCTGTAATCATGTTCCCATGACAGTAAATGCATGCAACAATAGAAGAATTGTTAGATGCATAATTTGCTGTGCATTCCATATCTTATCAAAGGAAAGTAAGTGATTAGTTCTTCCCAGAACTTTTTGTTGTTTTTTGCATTTACATTCCGCTACACATCAGCCAGTATATTTCACTTGGGAGACTAGGGAATTAGGAGAAACAGTTGGGATTTGCCTCATATAGAGTAGAGAGGAAGATTAAAGCCATATATTGGGATGTGAGTGAACAAAAATTTCGTGGAACAATTTTTTAATCAGAGGTTTGGATGTATCAGTGCAAAAATAGATATTATCAGTCCTGTAGGATGAAACAGTAACGAACAATGGCAGGAAATGGGACTGCAGATGAATTAAATGTAAAAAGAAATTGGAGAGGCTGGTATTATTATTATTATTGTTATTATTATTATTATTATTNTATTAGCCCCGTTGAGCCAACGAGGTCGGCCCTTGGTACCTTGATACTTCCCCCATCTACCAGAGGCATTGGAAACTACTTGGGCGGGAAAGTTTTTACCTAATCCTTTTGCTCAGAGGTCTCCTAGAGACATGAGGTTCTTTTATGTGCCGTAAATCTACGACACGGGACCCACGGCTTAAAGTCCCTTCCGGAGGACTTGTTCCCTGAATTTTTCCACCCTTAAAAATTCCACGACCTCCGCCGTGTTTGAACCTGCGTACCTCGAGTCATGAGGTGGGAACGTTACCCCTACACTACGGAGGCTGCTTGGAGAGGATGGTAAGAAAGCATGACAGTGAAATAGAAATAAATATAGATGGCTGTGCAGAACTGGCAGCTTCTCAAGAAGGGCTCATCTCCATGAAGTTAGTTAGAAGTTGGTTAGTTTGACCAGTAATTAATGTGGGTGGTAAGAGGATGTGTGTAATTAAAATGTTAGTGCATAACAGATGTGTTCTACACTATAGGAATAGTAATTTAAGCAGGATGCCAGAGCAAGGGGCTAGGTAGTCACACCGTGGCATCACAAAGTGTGAGCTGTAACAGACTAATGAAGTTTTCCATATGTACTATGCATGTGCTAATATGCAATGCACAAATGGATGACATTCTTATGCACAGTTTTTACAGAATTTAATATTGTGGGATACTTAATGAGTTCTGTCATCTGGAATGCAATGTAATGTAGTCTGATGAAAGTCAGCTGACATTTCGGAGGAATATGTTACCTCCATCTTCAGGGTTGAAGAACAAGCCAAGCAAGAAACCAGCAGGTAGCAAACAGGCTTCAACTGACTATGAGTAAATGGTAGATTCTAAATGGTTCTGATGATGGTTCAGTGATCAAGGTTTGCGCTTTTTAAGGGACCCAACTGAGTATATGTCTTCCCCCCTCACCTAAGGACAGAAACATCCAGTTTCCAGAATATCTAGTTTTCTAGTCTCTAGAATACCAGACAATGGAAAAAATCCAGAAATCCAGTAATTCGGAGTGACTACATGGTGTTATATCGTAGAACATGGAACTCTTCATAACCACTACTGTGAGATCAAGTCCTGTAAATCGGATAGATGTATGCATGCAGTGACTGGCCACACAGGTGAATTGTCATGTGTTGGATCACTTGAATACATAATTCAGCAGTTTTATGCCACATGTTTGTAGGATTAATTTTATTTTCTGGTTGCATTAGATTTATTTATTGACACTCAGTTTTGTTTGTGAGGATTGAGCTAAACTGTTACCAATAAAAGGAGATACTGTGTAGTCAGATTCACTGAACTTTCTGAGCTAAAATTCAGAACACATGCTATCTGCATGTAATCCAAATACTAGGCTGGAAGACGCTCAGAAAAAGAAATGGATGTCCACATAAACTCCAAGTAGCTTCTGCATTCTACCATTTATTGGTCTCACAGGTGTCAAGTATCACTGTATTATTCACAGTAATATTTAATAGTCTAATAAATTGCCCTCAACATATATAAATACCAAATTCTGGTGGGTCCTGATTTTTCTTCATATCCAGGAATACAATTAAGTGCAGTGAAGTTAAAGAATTTCATTCACAATTCTTGAATGCGCATGTGCGTTTGTTGACGGGGCATAGCTCCAGCCGCACATGTTCCCAGCAGTGAAAAGGAAGTTGTGTTGTTGGAAATGGGTCTCTTGACAGAGTAAAAAGTATTAATAGTTGAGTATTATTTCCGCTCATATGGAAGTGGTCGCCAGACAAGTTGCTTCCTTGGTTTTGAGCAGCCAGATATTATCATCCAGAAACCGCTACACAGTACACGTGTGACGATATGGTGTGCTGTCTCAGCACATGGTATATTAGGTCCCTATTTCATTGAGGATGATGAAGGCAATGCTTTTACCACGCTACAGGGACATGGTGATCGGACAATTTCTTCAGGATTTCATTTCATTTCAGTACTTTTTTTTTTTGGCAAATACTGTATTTGTGCTTTACTCTTATTAAGAAACTGTTTCCTTTTTAGAGGATGTACTAAGTGAAGATGACATGCACGCTGTGACAACTCGATTGCAACGTGAAGCAGAGAGCTGGTGTTCAGTTTCACGACCTCAGCCAACTGCGTTAGTCAATCCAGCTGCCGCTGTGAGTGCTCTTGGTGAGCTTACACCAGGTGGTGCACTTATGAAAGGTTTTGAAGAGGAGTCGCTGGCTCGTGAGTATTTGTATAAAAGCAGACTTACACAGATTTACTATAAATCATTAAACTCAGATTAAAAAACAACTCAGGGGAAATTTGCTAGTTTTATTAACAAAAGGCCAGCTGAAATATCAGCATATAAATAATAGCCAATGAAGTCTACCCTAAATCAGTTGAATCCAGTTTATAGCATCACCATGCTTGATCCTGAAAGCATCAGTAAATAACTCACCAAATTAAGAACATGATCTCTCATCAGTCTCAGTCATTGTTTTGCCTTTCACACTTAATTCATGTCCATCATGATGCATGAGTAATGTAATTTAATCACATTCACTTGAGTCTACATAACTTCTGTATATAAGATAAATTAACCAGTAAAGTGTACTGTTAATACATTGAGGACCAGTCGCATGATATCATGCTTTTGGCTTTTAAACATGGCGGACTGGTTGCATGATATCATGATTTTAGGACACGTTAGTTTGTAACACACTCTACCTTGCTCTGGCACCACCCAAGTTGCACGTAATAAAACTCCGGAATGTTTGCTTACTTGTCAGTAACTTGACCTCACTGTTTTCTTAAGCCACTATAAACGAAAATGCTTTGCTGCTCTTCAAGCTGTATTTATCAGCCAGTAGTAAGTGGGGAGTATGCATCAAGGACAAATTTTTCTCCGATGAGCTACTTGTCCTGCCTTATGAGACACATGGTCATGGTGATTCAGAGAGCGGCAGTGACAGGGGAGAACAAAGAATTGTGGCCACAGACAGTAAAAGTGACAGTAGCTCCGATGATAATGGTGGTAATAACATTGCGGGGACAGTAAAAAATCTAAACCCTGATTCGAAATTGAAATACGAAACATTTCTGATGAATGTGGCAAAGGCCTGGGCTACAGACCAGATGGTGGCGGCAGAACCAGAGTCAGACACAGACTTAATGCGACCAGGCCCATCAACTCCCAACCCATGCAGGCATCATGTGGACCCCCCCAGGGCGACTCTCGGGTGATATGCGGAAACATAACCTCGTGAAAATTGTGAAGAATGAACATTCCAAGGGAAAGCATCCTTCTAGGCAATGCCGTGTTTGCACAGTTCACAAAAAAAGTAGTATGTCTACATTTGCTAGTTCTGTGTAATGCCACTTCACAAAGGGGAATGATTCCAGAAATATCACACCCTCAAGCACTTCTAGTAGCATTGGCAAGTGTTCTCCAAAAATTTTATTTCATAAAATTAATTAGATTTTATATTAATTTTTGAAGTGAACAGTGCGCAAGTTAGGATAGTAGGTTTAATAATGGCGGCCCCAGGGTGATTTAAATATTTAAATCGCTGGTCCTTAACTCTTCAGCGCAGTTTGCCATACACGGTATGCTGGTATTTAAATGGTCCTACCTGCGGTTTGCTGTACACCGTACGCCAAGCTGTAAGCCTAATTTTGAAGGCCCATAAATACGGAACGAACTATGACAGCATCATGATGATTGCACTGGGCTGTTGTGAAAAGAATACACTCTCTGTTCGTATAACCATAACACTGAAGATCCAGCCGCTCTGCCAGTCAGTCTAAACAGAACGCGTGACCTCACAGTTATGATGGCCGCATGACTATGATATTAACATACCACATAGATGATATGCGTGTGGTTGTGAATAAAGCAAACAAACAAGAAACAAAGCCCATGGTTGTTTGTGATTACAACAGAAACATGCTAGGAATGGATCTGAAGGATCAAATGCTATAGCCTTGCTTGCTTGAACGAAAGAAAAGTACTAAGTGTTATCAGAAGTTATTCAAGACACTACTCACTGTAGCAGTACATAACGCAATGGTCATATATTGTCTCCAGAATAACAAAAACATGGACACACTAAAGTTCAGACTTTCACTAGCACAAGGCCTCGTGGAAAAACACGGTTCTGGTTTTCCTCATCCTGTATATGGCTGTCCGTCAGTTGAGCCGCCACCTAAAAGACTCACAGAACGACATTTCCTGGAGCGTATTCCAGCCAAAGAAAAAGGCAAAGCCTCAAAAAAGATGTGTGGTGTGCGCAAAACATGGTAAAAGGAAAGAATCTATTTATTGGTGTAGTGAATGTGAGACAGGGGTGTCTTTAGATGGATGTTTCAAGAAATACCGTACGAAACTCAAATTCTAATCCACTTGCTTCCATCACTCAGATTATAAGGTAAGATTATAAAACCATCTTTTAAGATGATTTTGGTGAAAAATTCATAATTATATCTCATATAGTTCAAAAGTTATGATACGTAATATAATTTAGAGGAAAATTTAAATGGGCAATTAAAAAATACTACTGCAGGAGGTCCCACAACAGCGATATTTAAATGCCTGAGCTGAAGGGTTAATGTGTTAACATTTTAAATACTGAGAGGAAGTGTATATAAGATTTGTAACCACCATCCAGTATGACTGATAAAAGTTGTTTTAATTTTTCATCCTTTACATGTTTCAGTTAAAATGACCATCTTCAGAAGGATATTATCAACACATAGGGATAATATGTACTATTACCATGTCATAAATATGAATATTATATCTTTTAACTAATTCTAACATGTACATTGATTTTTGAAAACATCTACAAATTATTGCAATAAGTCTGTTTACAAAGTAGTGTACAATATTTGTTTTAATCTATAGCCAATTTGGTTTGTGTCACTACACTTCTCCTTAATGGAAGCTGAGTAAATTTCACAGTGTGGTTTTGTTGTTTGATGATCGAAGCTCTGCAATTATTATGGGTATTATGTAGTGTTTGTATAATCCAGATTTTATTCAAACATGAATTTTTATTTTTAATCCCACCTTTGGTGTGGTGGTCCAGTTATGTAGGCTACGCTGTGTTGTTATATTCTAATGTGTGTTGTGTCGCATATTTATACCCTTTATGCGTTAATGACGTTTGTGTGGGCATATACTGATGTTTTATTATGATGTTGAACATACTACTCTGATTATTGCTCTCCTTTGTATGTTTTTGCTCTTCTATCAAATTATTAAGCTTATTAAAATGATAAATGTGAAATTTTTTTTAGCATGCCCCACCATTTCTGTGACAGGAAGATTTGAAGAAAATCACTGATGATGCATATTTTCCTCTGCAGTAGAATGTCGATATACAGTTGATTTTTTTCTTTTATTTTGTGGTCGGATGTTGACCAAGTGTGGTAGAAATCATTCCGATGCCTTTATCAAGAGAAAACTGCGTCTTTTCTTTCATTTTTATAATTGTTTGTAAAAATAAATAGCATTATATGTGCATAGTTACTTGGCAACAGGAGGGCTTCCACCTTCTATCTAGGGAGAGAAGCTCGAAAGGGTTAATATGTTTGAAGGGTCATACTGTTTCCAGAACAGCGTGAAACCATCGCTTAGAGGGAAGCCTGAGAAAGATGAGATGAACACACAGTTTGTCATAAAATGTGAACAGCAGAGAAGACTCGGGACTTAGGTGTACTGACAGGATAATATTAAAATGGATCTTATAGACTGCTAGTATGAGGATGTGGACTAGGTTTATCTGATTTAGGATGGGTGCCAGTAGTGGGTTCCTGTGAACACAGTAATTAACCTTTGGGTTCTGTAAAAGGTGAGGGAATTTTGTGAAGCTGTGTGACTCATGACTTCTGGAGAAATGTTATCTGCAGCTGATGTGTTCATAGCCTTTAAAGGATGAATGTCTGATATATTGACACCTGAGTGATTTGACAAGTGGCTTTTTTGAAGAGCCCTTCTGATGCCCCGTGTATGTGCTTAGCCCAAACAAAGCATGGAATTTTACTCTGCAAGATTGCAGTGTTATCTATGTATTAACAGTCCACGCATCAAATTTATTTCCCTGTGCATACAATTGTTCTAATCATGTGCAGCAATTTTCTGACACTTTGAACCCAGACAGCAGACACATTTTGAGCCTTGGCCCAGTGGTTTGGAGACTCAAATGAGCCGACTTGAAGTAAAGCATTCTGTGCACTGCCCAGCCAAAGGAAAAGAGTGATGTCATGTATGTCAAATGAAGAAACAAAGCCAAAAAAAAAAACAGTGTACTACTGCAAGAAATTGTATATGTGGTCTGTGTGTTATGCCATGTTTCGAGCTGTGGCATACAAAAATCCGACTGACTAGAACTGACTGTACTTGTATTGAATGGTATGTTGGGTGTGTAATGTGGTCTACAGCAACAAAGCAGACCTTCTCCTCCAGTCCAGTGTAGGGTGTGTGATGTAACTGCATCTTATGTGAAGTTCTAGGACCATAGTACATGCAGCAATATACAAACTAGAATTAGGGATGGTATGGAATATGGGGTTGAACCACACGTGTAGTTTAGGAAGGCATCAAAGGAGGACACTATCACATTTTTATATAAGTATTTATATTTTAGGTTCATAAATTTTCTGTGGGTACTTCTTTTATAAAACAGTCTTATTAATCTGGCACAAATAAGCACATGGAATTCAGGCAAAAAATGATAAAATCTTTTGAAAAGTGTGGGATGTTCATTTATGTATTATAACTGTTTTTGTTTAATTGAGATACATAAATGTCATGTCATTTATTTACAGTTCCAAAAAAATCCATAGAGGCATCTGCCTCAGATACAGAACAAGTCAATAATACAATATAACATATAAATATACATACATAATCAGACAGCTATCATCGTCAAAATTTAAATACTCAATACAACAAAACTACTGTACCACAATACATTCATATATCAAAATAACATTTAAATTTTACATACATGATTAAAATATATACATGAGGTATCAATCTTTATTCCAGCAGTAGTATTCTTCAACTGTATAAAAAGAACTGGTGATAAGAAACTTCTTTAATGCCACTTTAAATCCAGGAATGTCATAAGATAATTGTTTAAGCTCTGGAGGGAGGTGGTTATAAAGTTTGATACCAGAATACCATCCACCTTTCTGAAATATCGTTAAGTTTACCACCGGAAGATGCAAGTCATGATTAAATCTGGTATTACGTG